TACTCATGGAGAAAAATGAGAGTTATTGGAAAAGGTGGTGTGGCAACTCCCATGCAAATTGATTTTTCTATGCTGCATATCTCTGGAGGTGTTTATTGCAGAGGACTGGAACTTGGCACCGAGATGTGTATACAAAATTAATTCCATACTCATAGAGAAGAATTTGTGTTATTCGAAAAGGGGACATGGTACCTCCCGTACAAATTTACTGTTTTATACTGCATATCTCCAGAGATGTTCATGGTAGAGTACTGGGACTTGGTACTGGGGTATGTAAAATCAATTCTAAATTCATGGAAGAAGATTAGGGTTATAAGAAAAATGGGCGTGGCACTTCCAGTACAAATTTACTTTTTCTTGCCACATATCCCTGGAAGTGTTTGTGGAAGAATACTGGAACTTGGTATGGAGTTGTGTATACAAAATGTATCAATTGCTCATGGAAAAAATGTGAGTTATTAAAAAGGAGGCATGTCGCTTCCCATACATACTAAAAACTTCTTAATACATGTCTCTGGAAGGATAGAAAATCTCTCGAAGTATTTTAAATTTGTTATGGAGATTTATTTTATAGGTGCCGTACTGACAGAATAAATTTCATTAAATGGAAAAGGGAGGGCCGGGTTCGGCCTTATAATCTAAAGCTCTCTTGAGGCATTTGCTACAGTAATGAGAAGTGGTATTTTATCAAGGCCAGGTTACTAAATTTGTGTTGGAAATATTAGAACTCGCCGTGGCACCTCCAAGAAGGTTACACGTTCACGCGTAACATTTTAAGGTACACTTAGAGGGATTGATATCCTTCGTATGCCTAGCGCGCAGACGAGATTTTATAATTTCATAGCTTTAAACGGCCTAAATACCTTCACTCGCTTAGAAAATAACGAGCTATAACGAAATGGGCACAGAAATAAAATCTAACATCATTAAATTATTTTTCATATTTGTATAATAGCGCGGGGTGAAACCCGCGGGTATAAGCTAGTAAACAATATAAATTCAAGGCCGTATTTAAGAAAAGTCGCCTAAATTCGAAAAGTTTTAAGCGATTGCAATAAATGAGGTATCAGTTTATTTGACAATAGATTTAATTTAAGACGGTACTACATATTTTGAAATTATGGAAATTAGTAATGGACAAAATTTAAAAAATTAAGAGAAATATGGGGTTTTTTATTTTACCCCATAAAAAAGCCCGATAAGCCCAGTCCGAAAATAGATTATTAAATAACATTTTAAAGGCCTATATATCCTCTTCTCAGATAGCATTCGACCTTTGAAATCGGGTCAAAAATAGTCATTCCAAAACTCACAAATCTACAAAACTGTATTTTTTAACCTAAATCGAAAGGTCGCGACCTCTAAATGACCTTTAAAATACCTATACAAATATGCAATAATATTTCTCATAGAAACGAATAAAATTAGGGGTAGGGTCTTGAAATTTCCAAAAAAAAAACATTTTCAATGAGCACTCTAATGTACATATGTGCGTATGCACATATATAAGTTTTTTTGTACCTGCGTTTGAAAATATAATAAGGGAGTTCAAGATTTGTAGTATTCTAGATGTTTTTTATCCCATTTGGCCATAATGCGTGGTTTGGTTGAAATAAAATGCGCCAGATAGTTTGACGAATAGTTGAGACCATGCTGTGACAGAACTGTTTGAAAGTGAATAGTCAAATCAATAGAACAGAAAAACCAAAAAACACTTTTCAGCTATCCTGGAGCTTAACTCTTGGTATTGGCGTAGTAGAGCTAAGCGTCAAAAGTTAAAAAAATGCTTTCCTAGCACAGCAACAGCAGTTTTTTAGTGTATTTTTTACTTTCTCAAACACTGTTTAGTACTATAGTAGAGTTTAATTTTATTTGCCAAAAGATTAAATTTATTTGCCAAAAGATTATTTTCATTTGCCAAAAGGTTAATTTTATTTGCCAAAAGATAAAGTTTATTTGCCAAAAGGTTAATTTTATTTGTCAAAAGATTAAATTTATTTGCCAAAAGATTAAATTTATTTGCCAAAAGATTAATTTTATTTGCCAAAAGTTTAACTTAATGTGTCAATGCTATATATATATGTACAAGCGGGCCCATGCGCAGACTGCGCAGATAGAAATACACAGTAAACTCATCCCTCTTTGTAGCCACAGATAAAAGCAGACTGTTCTAATAGTTCGCGGAAATAGTAAACAGAATTATTCTTATAAACCCCTTATTTTTATTATACATATATTACAAAGCGTGAATGAGATTTATAGTACATCAGAATTTATACTTATTAGGTACATAAAAACATATTACAAACTGACTGATATATGAGTGTCATGAGTTGAGGGAAACATGGTGTTACTTATAATACATATATCTTTGTATACAATATTTGAGGTGAAAATATATTCAGAGTTAACTTTTTGATCAAATATTTCTTTAACAGAAACAATTATACATATCTGAGCCAAGGGAGCGGTGCGAGAGAGACAACTGTCAGTTTATCGAACTTTTAATTATTGAATTATGTGTGCGCCCACCACTATCGTAGTGCTTCAGTACAATATACCTTTAGGATGGCTTAACAATGGTAAATGAAACACAAAAATAAAAATACATATTTCTTGATTTCAGAGGCGTTACGACCATTAATATTACCTAATAACCACTCAGGGGACCTCTGACATTTCAAATGACACCTCATTAGTGGAAATGATTACATAGAAAAGTAGAAAAAGGGAGACTAACAAAAAAACACCTTAGAGAGATAATATATAAGATACATACATACGTGCATTCAAACATACATATATACATATGTAGGTACTCGTACACGTCCTGCGTCGCTTTATTTCTTTTTTCTCCTTCCCTATACTACCCATATCTTCCTTCTCACTCATGTAACGTTTTCAGTTTTAAAAATTTTACTCTCCATTTTTGCGATACCACCGCCTAAGAAGTTTCACTTCAAAAATTTCAATTGTTTTTCAGAGTTCTGTTGAGAGTTATGAGTAGCCCCTCGAGAGTTCTAAATAAAACTCTAATACAGTTCTTTTGTTCGACCAATAGTAAAAAAGCTATAAGCAAAAACAAGGAGAAATGTTTATTAACAAGAAAATTTCGTTTGTTTTTCAGAGCTCTGTTGGGAGTTCTGAGAAGCTCCCTAAGAGTTCTAACAAAAACTCTTATAAAGTTTTTTTGTCCACCTAATAGTAATAAAGTTATAAGCAAAAACAAGGGGCAAATTTTTGTTATCAAAAAAATGTAATTGGTTTTGATGTAGAACACGTCTTACAAGGAAAATTGTTTATTAACAAGAAAATTTCGTTTGTTTTTCAGAGCTCTGTTGGGAGTTCTGAGAAGCTCCCTGAGAGTTCTAACAAATACTCTTATAACGTTTTTTTGTCCACTTAATAGTAATAAAGTTATAAGCAAAAACAAGGGGCAAATATTTGTTATCAAAAAAATGTAATTGGTTTTGACGTAGAGTACGTCTTACGTTTCGATATGGAGGCTATGCTCAAATGTTGTAGTTGTAATTTTTAGAGCTTCACGAAAAGGCTAATTGCACGAGAACTAATGAAGCGATTTCAAAGAAAAGTATGTGGTTACAAATACAGGATTCCTAACTTATCGGCAGATTCAGTTTTGTAAGTAAGCAATTCGGTTTCTGTCGTAGAAACAACGGTAAATATTGGCTTATTTTGGGATAAATTTTGAGCATTTCAAGTGCTCTAGCAACTCATGATTTGCAGATATAACTTTCATTTTTGGGATATGGATATTTTTTTATTACCAAAATGCTCGAAACTCGTTTGAATGATTTTATTTTTGTTTTCTTTAATCAAAAATTCAAGTTTTTTCCTTTCGTTTGGTATATGGGATGCATTGGTTGATATCTTCGAAGTATGTTTCATTTATTAAACTATGTGATTTTGATTTTCTATACAAAATCACCTCATCATTTTGCAAACACGTGCTTGCGTTGGAAGTGAGAGGAGACAAAAAGTATGTAAAAAGTAAGTGAATAAATGATTTGGTTTGCATAAAATAATAACCGGAGACGTCTTAATAGTGTTTCAGAAGTGGAAACTGGTGATTTAGTGCATTTTTGACGTGGTAATTGCTCATAGAAAACAACGAAATTTAACAAAAGTTTTTTGTTCATAACTTTTAAATGGTTAATAATATTAGCCTTCCCGGATTGTTAATAGGGGGACCGAAACGCGTCGTTTGGTACCCCTCCCGACTTTTCCGGACCTTTTTTAGGGGTTGTTACCCTACACTAGAGAATTACCCTTAGTTTTACAAAAAGAGTTGCCATCTGATAAAAAAATGAAATTCAAATTATTTATAAGTTAAATCAATTATTACAGTATGAGTATCGATCGAAGTGGTTTTGAAAAGGCTTTATTTCTTAAATGTATATCCTGATATGTATGTCCAATGAAACAGTGTGTAGTTGGAAAATATTTTGCAGAGGGTTACCACCTTGTCACAAAGTTAGATTCAATATAAGCAATAAGTTAAACAAATTACTTCAATGTGAATATAAATCAAAATGGCTTTGAAGAAACTTTATTTCCAAACTGCATGGAGGAGTGTTGCCACCTGATTTTATAATTAAATTCAAATTGAATTAAGGGGATTAGTTAATTCAAATATCTACCACAATACAAGTGTCAGACGAAAAAGGTTTAACGAGGTTTTTGTTTAATAATAATTTGAACAGGATTGCCATCTGTTTGAAAAGTTGAACTAAATTGAATTATATGAAATATTGAAATATTGGCGTCAATCAAAAGAAAAATCTAGTTTCAGCATCTATAATATTAAAGGGGGTTTCCACCTGTGTAAAAAGTTAAACTCAAATTATTGAATAAGTCAAATGAATTATTAAAGTATGGGTATAAATTAGCTTCCGTCAAAAATGTTTTTTTCTTAATCTTATTTAAGAGGGTTGCCATATGTTTTAGAAATTAAATTTAACTTGAATTAAGGGAATTAGATATACAATTTAAATATGTATCGCAATATGTGGGTCAGTCGAAAAGGTTTAACAAGGTTTTGGTTTTAAAATATTTGTAATAGGGTTGCCACCTGTTTTAAAATAAGAATTTAATTATAGCATGTATAAGTTAAATTAAATATTAAAACATGACGTGAAACGAAGGTGGTAATATATCCTTAGTTTAAATATTTATAATATTAAAGAGGGTTGCCACATGTTTAAAAAGCTAAACTCAAATTATTTAATAAGTGAATGCAAGGCTTTATTTCTGAACTGTATTTAGGAACGTTGTCACCTATTTAAAAAATAAAGTTTAACTTAATTCATCTAGCACATGTTATATATTGCTAGGTAGTAATATTTTGCAATTCATATTGATTTATTAATTTCAATTTAATACAATTAAAACGAATATTTCATGCACCGTTTTTACTTGAATGTGATCTTAATAATATCACGTATTCTACGTTTAAGTTTAGCGGGTGTGTCTCCGGCACAGCCTGCAGGTCAAGACGAAGGCGCTGGACTAATCCTTTTTTACAGAGTTGCGAGTAGCCCCTCGAGTGTTCTAACTAAATTTCTTATAAAGTTTTTTTTTAGCGAGCAATAGTAAAAGAGTTATAAGCAAAAACCAGGGGAAAGTTTTTATTAACAAAAAAATTTTTTTTTTTTTTTTAGAATTCTGTTGATTCGTGAGTTCTAACTAAAACTCTTATAAAGTTTCTTTGTCCGACCAATAGTAAAAAAGTTATCAGCAAAAGGGGCAAAATTTTATAAACAAAACAATTTCATTTGTTTTTAGAGTTCTGTTGAGAGTTCTGAGTAGCTCGCCGAAAGATCTAACTAAAACTGTTATAAACTTTTTTTGTCTGACCTATATTAAAAAAGTTATAAGCAAAAACAAGGGGCAAATTTTTAATAACAAAAAATTTATTTTGTATTTTCAGAGCTCTGTTGAGAGTTCTGAGTAGTAGAGAGTTCTAACTAAAAGTCCTATAAAGTTTTTTTGTCCGACCAATAGTAAAAAAGTTATAAGCAAAAACAAGGGGCAAATTTTTACTAACAAAAAAGTTTGATTTGTTTTGTTGACAGTTCTGAGTAGCCACTCTAAGGTTTTAACTAAAGCTCTTATAAAGTTTTTTTCTCGGACCAATAGTAAAACAGTTATAAGCAAAAACAAGGGGCAAATTTTTATTAACAAACAAGTTTCATTTGTTTTTGAGAGATCTGTTGAGAGTTCGGAGTAGTCCGTTGAGAGTTCTAATCAAAACTCCTTTAAATTTTATTGTTCGACCAACAGTAAAAAAGTTATAAGCAAAAACAAGGGGCACATTTTTATTAACAAAAAAATTTTATTTGTTCTTTTTTCTGAGTTTTGGTGGCAGATTCAGTTTTGTAAGTAACCAATTCGGTTTATGTCGTAGAAACAACGGTAAATATTGGCTCATTTTGGGGTAAATTTTTGATTTGCTCGTTGATATGGGCTCGTTGGAGGAACAGAAATATTATCGCGTACAAATTTTATATATATTCAACAAATATTAAGCATTTTAAGGCAAAACATTGTTGAAAAAATGTGCATTTTTTTTATTACCAAAATGCTCTAAAACCTCTCGAACGATCTTATTTTTGTTTTCTTTAATCAAATCAAATCAAATTTTTTCCTTTCGTTTGGTATATGGGATATATTGGTTGATATCTTCTAAGTATGTTTATTTTATTAAAATATATAGGCATAAAAGATTTTCCATACAAAATCACCTCATCATTTTGCAAACACGTGCTTGCGTTGGAAGTGAGAGAAGGAGACAAAAAGTATGTGTGTGTAGGTATTTCGGCTAAACTTATCGCAGCGTATGTATGCAAGTGCATACATACTTACATATCGAGGGCTTATATTCAATACCCTCTATCTGCAATTTTGATGAAAATGAGTTTTTGATAGTAACGTGAGCACTATCTGCAATAACATTTTGTTAAAAGAGCAAAATCCTCTATCTACACAATTTTTCTGCAAAATCGTTTTCATTAGCATTTTTTGTGGCGGGTCAAATTAAGACTGGGTAAGTTACATGTGCTTATGTATGTATGTATAAGTTCCGGTAAAATCCGATCTTAGGTAAAACTACACAGAGAAAATGATACAGGAAAACGCAAGTTTTTAAAAGAAATTGTAAAATAAAATGTTTTGATATAATTTTACTTCATACAAAATAAAAAATACAGTATTTGTTCTTACGACTTTAAAACGAAACATTCGCAAAACAAAAACGATCGTTATAATATATTCACTTTTTTTTACTGAGGAGAACAAACGACATTAAAGAAATAGCGTCAAAAATGCGTATTTTAAAAACTAAAATGAAACATTTTAGAATATTGTCCCAACAAGTTGTATTGCGACACAATTTTCAACAAGCAAAATTAAACTACATTTTTAAAATAAAAACGTTAATTTATTTTCAGTCAATTAGGTTTGAAAAATATTTAAAACTAAAATGTTTTGCATTCGAATTTTAAAATCTACCTAGCTATAATGAAAAGTTGTCATATGTTTGCATCATTTGTTGGAAAAATTGTGTTCAGATAAATAAGTTACTTCAATTTTCAGAAAAGGCGATGGAAGTATATACAAACAATACTGCCATTCTAACCCCTAAGTACATATAAGGCACATTGGTGGACTTCTTTGACCGAAAAAAGCTTTGGTAAGAGTAACTTACATAAACAAATTCTTATGGGTTATTAAATAATAATTTAAAACTTTCTTAATTTAAATCACAGGATTTGACCAGCGTGAAGTATAATTAGCAGACCCAGCTTGGAAGTAAGGCAGGAACGTCTTTATGTATGTATTTATGTATGTATGTATATAAGTAGTAATATGTAAAACATCTGTATTTCATTTATTAAATGTTGTAACTTATTTATAAGTATATGTTAGGTTTAGTTAAGGTGGCAGACCCGCAAAGGGGACTCACTTAGACATTTGATTGTCCATTGTGATACCACATTACATAGGAACGGTAACTGCGTAAAAATTACGAGAAGCGCTGGGTGCTCATAATGAAGTTCTTCAAACAGCTGATGTCCACTCCGGAGAGTCCCTCGGGAGTGTCGATGAAATGCGCACCGAGATGCTTAAACCGTAATCTAGCGAATGCCGGGCAGTTGAGTAGGAA